AAATTATATAGAATCTAAGAATTTAAAGAATTAAATCTAAAAACATTAAATTAAAGATCTAATATATTAAACTAAATTTAAAAGCTAATATCATTAAGGTTTAAGAATTAATAAAAAATAAAAGCTCGAATTTAAGCAACATTAAGGCCTAAGAATTAATAATGTTGAGTTCTAAGAATTATTAATATTGAGGTTTAAAAATTAATAATATTGAGGCCTAAGAATTAATAATATTGAGGTCTAAGATTTAATAATGTTGAAGCCTAAGAATTAGCAAAAAATTAGAAACTCAAACACAGTTAATAACTGGGTCCTAAGAGCTAATAATATTGAAGCCTAAGAGTTAATAACGTTGAGGCCTAAGAATTAGCAAAAATTAGAAACTCAAACCCAGTCATCGACCGAGTCTTATAAGCTAATAACATTGAAGCCTAAGAGTTAATAACATTAAAACCTAAGAGTTAATAATATTGAGGACTAAAAATTAGAAACTCGAACCCAGTCACTGACTAGGTCTTAAGAGCTAATATTATAATATTAGGGCCTAAGAGTTAAGAAAGTTGAGGCCTAAGAATTAGCAAAAAATTAGAAACTCAAACCCAGTCAAGGACTGGGTCCTTAAGAACTAGCCCACTCTCTACTATTGCATAGTTCTGGTCACTAATTAATTTTGCTAACATTTTTTGCCTTTTATACCTGCTTCGCAAGTATAAAAAGGCAAAAGTGTTAGCAAAAAAAATTAGTGACACAGAATTGGGTAATAGTAGATAGAGAGTTGAGCGAAGTTGAGCGAATAAAAAAGTAAATTATTAATAAAAGAAAGGGTGGAGGAAAAGAAAGAGAATGAATGGGGAAAGGGTGAGGAGAGAGTGGAAGTGGGATAGAGGTGGGTGGGATGAATAGAGGGAAGGGGGAAAGAGAGAAAAGAAAATGAACGAAGAAAGTGAATGAGTGAAAGTAAGTTAAAAAAAAGGCAATATAAAATTAAAACTCTGATCATGTGATGATTAAGTTATATAACTTTAGATTTTGCATTTTTGTGAAATCGGGGGAGTTTCAAACTTTGCTGAAATTGAGTTTGAAACTCCAACAAAATGACAAAGTCACATAACTTATGAGAATTCAAATTTTTACAAAATTAGCAAAATTCAAACTCCGCCTAATTGGAGTGTGAAAATTTGAAAAAAAAAAAAATTTAAATAAAATAAAATAAAAAAATAAAAAAATTAATTTTTAAAAAAATATCAAAAAACTAAAAAATTAAAAATTAGAAACTCAAAATCTAGACAATGACTGGGTTCTAAGAGTTAATATAATTTAAGCCTAAAAGTTAATATTATTAATGGATAGAAGCTCACTCTCTGTACTACTAGTAGTATATTTATTAAAACTCATAAAAAATTAAAAAAATTATAAATTACAAAAAAGTTTATAAAAAAATCTATTTAATCTACTAATTTGTTTTATTTGATTTTTTTTAAAATTAATAATTAAATTATTGAAAAAAATTTTTTTAATAAATTTATTTTTTAGAATTTTTGGTATACTACATGTAGTATACTTTTTAAAATCTCATATTTTGTAAAATATTAATAAATTTTATAATTTAAAAGTATTATTATATATAAAAATAATAAACTTTTATTATTATTAAATAATATTATTATTTATATTGTAAAAATATTATTCACTCTTATAAGTTATTAATTATAAATTATAGTAATATATAGAGTTCATTCAAGTTTTAATAGAATTTTTAAAAAATTTTTATTAAATAATTCATTTAAATTTTTAATAAAAGTTGTAAAAAACTTTGTAATTTATTAAAATTAATTAAAAATATATATATACAAACTAATATTTTTTAAGTTATTTAAGTTTAAAATTTTAAAAAATAGATTTAACTTTTATATATGAAAATTTAATAGTAAAATTTGGGCAAATTTTTTTAATTTTAAAAAAATTATATAAAATTCTAAAAAATATTTAGAACTATTAATATATAATAAATATAATTAAATATAATTAAAATACTTGAAAAAAATATTTAAAAGAATATTTAATTTTTATATTAATAGATATAAGTTTTTAAAAACTGTTACAATATAGTACAATGTACTACTAGTAGTACACCGAGCTCTATCTATTAAAATCTAAGAAATGGCAAAAAATTAAAAATTTAAACCCAGGCAATAACCAGGTTCTAAGAGTTAATATAATATAAGCCTAAGAGCCAATATTATTAAAACCTAAGAATTTAGATACTTGAACTTGGTAATAACTGGGTTCTAAGAGTTTATATAATTTAAAAGCCAATTTTATTAAAGTTAAAAAATTAGTAAAAAATTAGAAATATGAAATTGGGCAATAACCAGATCGTAAAAGCTAATAATGTTAAAGCCTAAGAGTTAATTATGTTGAGATCTAAGAATTAGCAAAAAATTAAGAACTTGAACCTAGGCAATGACCAGGTCCTAAGAGTTAATATAATTTAGATCTAAGAATTAGCAAAATATTAGAACCTTAAACCCAAGCAACGACTAGGTCCTAAGATCTAATAATGTTAAGGTCTAAATGTTAATAATATTGAGGTCTAAGAATTAGTAAAAAATTAGAAACTTGAACCTGGTTAAGAACTAGGTCTTAAAAGCTAATTTGTTAAGTTCTAAGAATTAGCAAAATATTAGAAACTCGAAACCGGGTCCTAAGAGCTAATATCATTGAGACAAAAAGAATTAGAAAAATTAAAATAAGATATCATTGAGGTTTAAGAATTAGCAAAAAATTAAAAACTCAAACTCGGTCAATGATTGGGTCTTATAAGCTAATATTGCCTAAGAGTTAATAACATTGAGGCCTAAGAATTAGCAAAAAATTAGAAACTCGAACTTGGTCAAGGACTGAGTCTTAAGAGTTAATAACAATGAGACCTAAGAGTTAATAATGTTGAAGCCTAAGATTTAATAATATTGAGGTCTAAGAATTAGCAAAAATTAAAAACTCGAACCCAGTCAAGAACTGGGTCTTAAAAGCTAGTATGCCTACTAATATCACACTTCTCTTTTTTTTTTTTTAATATACTATTCACTGATCACAGTAATTGAAAAGTAAAGTAATAATATAACATACTATACCAAACTTAAATTATAATTGAATTTTTTTAAATAGTTTTTTGCCAATTCATTTGCTCTAGTTGGTTTCTTTAATATATTAAATTAGGTTCAATATATCTATTTTAGTAGTGTTTTTATATATATTGAATTAGCCTATTTTTGATTGTTATAACCAGTTTTTTGGTAAGTTGAATTAAGTTTTTCTAGTTAGGATATACTTGGTATGAAAATTAGATTTGCTTATTCTAGCTTGGCATATTGAATTAGCTTCAACTTACTTTAACCAAGTAATTTTAGTATATTGAATTAGATTTATAATCAAATTATTTTGGTATATCAAATTAGGTTCAGAATTATTAGTCTAGTTGGTCATTAATTGAGGCACTTGAGAATGTAAAATCAACTCTCTCTAAGTGCACATCCTCTAAGTGCAACTTTTCTCTAAATGCAATTAAATAGTCTGTGTTAGGACCAGGATTTAAAATTGGCTTGTACAAGATGCTCATGTGCAAGTGTTATTTTTTAGGTTTTTTTTAGATTTTTAAAAAATCTCAAGTGTGAAAGTAGTGCTTTTTAAAAAAGTTGCACAAAATGCATTTGTGCAAGTGATTTTTTTTAAATACTGGTTGAGACTTATATCATAAATGCAAGTTCTTTATTCTCTAAGTGTAAGGTTTCTTTTTGGCCAGCATATATAAAATTATTTTCTTTAATTGCAAGATATTTTATTAACCAATTAAATTGACTAATTTAATTAAAGTTTTTTTCTAAGTGCAAGTTATTTTTTTTAACTTATAAACTTGATTTAGAGAGAATTAATTATATATTAATTTAGTTTTCTTTAAGTGCAAGTTCTCTCTAAATGCAAGATATTTTGCTGGCCCGTTGACTTGCACTTAGAGAGAGTTGACTGTATAATTTAAAGCATTTGTTACAGCTGGATCACTTTGTATGTATGTTGAATTTGATTATTTGGCTATTATATTAAATTAATCTTAATTCATTTCATCTAATCAATAACTCACCTTGTTGGCAATTATAGTAACTGTTGTTTATTTAAATACTTAATTGTCTGTGAGAATAAAGATCATTTATTAGTCAATAAAATTAATAAATCATAAACATAAATACTTATTCCTCATTATCTGATACCTTTCAGATTATTCATTTTTTACGTATTAATCATTTTATTTAGTTCGTGAGTATAAAGATCATTTATCAATTAATAGAATTAAGAATTATGAACATAAATTCTTATTCTCCATTACCTAATCATTTCATTTAGTTCATAAGTATAAATATCAATTATTAGTCAATGGAATTAACAAATTATAAGCATAAATACTTATTTTCTAATACCTGATACTCTTCAGTTATTATTTCACACTAATTATTTTATTTTGTTTGTGAGTATAAAGATCAGTTATTAATCAAACAGAAAGCTATTTTAAAGATTTTAATTTATATTGCTATGTAGTGTTTAGTTTAAAATTATATTGTTGATTTATCTAATGAGTTAAAATCGCTATTTACTCATTATGTACTTCAAATTATAATAATGTTTTTAATAAGTCTGCTCATATACCAATTGTACTTCGAGAAAGAAACAAAATGTTCGCTATAATATGAATAAATTAAGGTTATTATTTACGAGTTAATGAGTTAATAAAATTTATTACTGTTTTTATTTTAAATTAATACTATATTAGCTAATTTATCTAATTCTGATTATTAATTATACGAAATATTTCAAAAAATAAAGACCTTATACGTATATTAAAAATTTTATGATCACATAAATCAAAAATTGCAGGTACGTAAAATATAACGAAAATTAAATAAATTAATTAATTAATGAAAAGATTAAAAAACAATGAAGTTTTTTTTTTAATCATCCCAAAGGGATACAAGTATAGATGATTTGATAACTTTTGGAACGGTATAATATTGTTTTCCAATCCACAAAAAAGGTTGCTTTGTATAAAAATATCCTTGATCCATCATTGATTCATCAAGATGTTCAATAAGGTATTTCCTACCATTATATAATGCTGATTTAATCGCTTTATCATCTGACCAATTATTAGAAGCAGTCTTTAGGAGCCTTACAATATAACTTGTTTCTTCAAGGTTTCCAGGTCCTATATTTGATGGCTCACC